CGCCAGTCTAGACCAGTCAGACAACTGCTTCCAGACTGTCACATTGCCGTTCCAGACCAGTTCGACAGCAGCTTCCAGAACACCAATTCGCCAATCCAAATTAGTCGGACAGCTGCTTCCAGACCGTTAATACACCAGTCGAAGCCAGTCAGACAGTTACTCCTATATCATCAAGTCCCCAACCTGTAAGGGTGAGGATAACCTAAGTTACCTCATCCTTTTGAGATGTAATTTTTGTCTCAATAAACGTGTAAAAGTCCCCAAAAGCCAGTGTCAAAGTCAGTTCGTCAACTGTTTCCAGACCACCCAGTCGCCACTCTGGACTAGCCGGACAGCTGTTTCTAGATCGCCAAAATCCCAGTCCAATACACACTTCAGCTGTCATATTGGGGTTGAATCCTTGCACTAGTCAGCAAACCATAAGCTCCTGGCATTTCATTCCATACTAGATTTATCCCTTCTTAAATTTCTTGTTTTATACTGAATTTATCCTTTCTTAAATTTCTTGAGCATCGACAATGAGTCAAACATCTCTCATGTTTTAAGTAATGGGATCAATTATGGAAATTCTCGCATTTTTACATATGATTTGCACCCGTATTGACAAAACTGAAATTCTGGAAAAACAATGTGCCTCACCCCTTTGGAAAAGAAGATTGCTGACTCTGGAATACGATTAAGATAAATGCAAATACACTTTCACACATATACTGCATAAGAAGACACTGCCACAGGAGAAAGAAAGTAAAAAAAAAAAAAAAATAAAAATGTCCAAACTCATCAAGAATTCCGTGTCAATTTTTTTTTTTTTTTTTTTTTTTGCCTCACACATGCGTCTCCATGTTTGGTCATATCTACATAAATATCAGCATGCGAATATACACATTTTCATATCCACATTATCTGTACAGACACGCACATCCCAAGATCTGCTGAACGAAAATCTGATAACTTAAGAGAAAATATCAGTTGCAATAATGATACAGCCTAATGCAACTGTGTAGGTTAAATATCTGATGACCTTTGAAATATATACAAGCAAATTAATGTCAGAGATACCCTATATGTATCCTGTATATATAATATACACATATAGGTACGTGTGTGGGAGGGAGAGAGAGAAAAAAAAAACGAGAGAAGAGAGAGAGAAACTACTTAAATCGATTGTTTATTAACATAAAATTGTATATCAAAATAAGAGGCCTCAAACAGTACTCTTTAATAGATACACATCGATAAATCATAACACGAATTAATTACATAGGTAAGTAATGAAAAATAACAACTAAACACCACATCAAGTAAATCAACAATAATGCCACGTTTTTGGTGCAAATAAAATGTTCTTATCTTCGGTATGATTTAGATTTCTGTCGGTATGTGATAGTTTCTACATGAAACGGACAAAAAATTTATTCCAGTTTCCATAAGAATAATTATAATAAACGACCTCTCGACAGCCTACGAATATATAATATATATATATATATATATATATATATATATATATATGTATATATATATATTATATATATATATATATATATATATTATATATATGTATGTATGTATATATATAATAACATTTCAAGGCTTCATGCAACTCTGAAACCCATTATGAAGATTTTTTATTTATTCATTTTTCTTGTACAGTAACGCAGAATTGACATATGAATGAGTCATGAATTATTTACGTTAAATAATGCTGTGTAATACAGTCTGGCTCTTTTTTTTTTTTTTTTTTTTTTTTTTTTTTTTTTTTGCTTCCTCAAATTTAGCTTAAAAACTGAAAATCATTTGCGTTCGTCCTGTTAATATTGGCTATTTTTACGGATCACTAACCAAAATTCCCCTTTCCATAAATACAGCTTGAACATTCGACAGAACCTCCAGCGTAGAATTATTAGAGTGAACATTATAACATTTACTTGGCCAAGAACATTTGCAAACTAATTTCCAGCTGAGAAACTGCTCATTTTCCATATCATTTTTTTTAGCTTCAGGATGAATCGCCGTCTCATTTTCCATATCATTTTTTTTTTTTTTTTTTTAGCTTCAGGATGAACTGCCGTCAAGTCTTTCAAAACACTTCAACTAAGAGTGGACAGAATTGAGATTTCAATGACTTACAAACTATAGAACGATCTTAATTCAGCTGACCCGAGGTACAATCGCTGCCCAACGAACTTTACAAGGACCTGCTTCTCCTCTCACAACATGGAGGGGGGAGGAGGGGGGGGGGGCTTTCAGTGGCTCGTGGTCTGGTCGCTTCCCTTTTCGTGGCGGAGTTTAAAGCAAGGGAATGTACCTACGTGGGCTTCGATT